AGAGTTTTGCCTAATTTAATAATTAGTCTTTATTTCTTTCATAATATTTTGATTCTAAGTTTGTATACATTTCAGGGTTACCTAAGAGCCTTTGCTCTTCAATTCTGCATTTTGCTCGATTTTTGCTGGCCTTGTTTTGATAAAGAAATTATCCCCATTTCCTTTCAGCCACTTACTCTCTGTATGACTTTGGACAAGTCACTTATCAAACCCTCAAAACCTGTTTCCTTATCTGTAAAATGTTGACAGTTATAATATATTTTCAGAGTTTCTGAGAAGACTGAATCACAGAATTTAAGTAAAACTCTTAGCATAGTACTTAGCAAGAAATACAATGAATACTACCAATTGCAAACTAGAGGAAAAAAAATGAAGCTATACTTTAAAAATGAGTGGCCATTACTAAGGACTACAAGTTTTAAGCACATACTATGTATTCATACCGTGCGTTGCAAGCATTTCACAAGTAGGATCTCATGTAATCCCCAACAACTAGGTACTATTAATATCCAATTTTACAGGTGAAAAATAATGATAAGAGGGAAGTTAAATAATGTCGCCAAGGTTACATAGTCAATAAATGGTGGAACCAAGATTCAAGCTGCGTTAGACCAATCTAGAGTATATCCTTACATCAATTAAACTATGCTTTTCCAGTGATACCTATAGAAGAGTATATCAGGCCTCCAAATGAAACAGTTGAAACAAACAAACAAAGAAACAGAACACTTGGTAGGAGATATTTAAGGTAATTAATTAACAAGAAAGAGATAAATCAAGAATCAAATTCCAAGGCAAGATCAGATAATGAAACCCGTGTAGGTATTCTGGGTAATACAGGATAAACTAAGACAGATACCTGACACAAAATAAATACAAACATTGAAAATAAACAAATAAATCAAGTAAACCAATGTTGTATCTCTGAAGTCCTCGGGTACTTAATCATGTATCATAGAAACAACTGACTGATATCTGAAACCCTGAACAAGTACAAAGTTACCCTGGAAATAGGTGTGGTCTAAGCTTCCTCAGCCTTAATTGGGTTAAAAGTCTAAATCTGGAAAGTTAGACAAAAATTGTCAACATTTATGAATATGGCAACGTAGAAATATATTTTGTAAAACATAGTCTATTAAAGAGTAGAATTATTTACTTTATATCATTTAACATAATTTGATATTTATATAAAATATTTCTCAAATTTAAGCATATATTTTACGCTAGGCCAAGAATACATCTACCATCTTCTCTGTCTTACTAGTGACATCCAAATAAAGTCTACAATAATATTCAAAGCATTTTAGCACAATTTATAAGAGGGATCATGGAAACCCCACATAGGCAATATTGCAAAGTGAAGAAAGTATTTTTAAATTTAATTTTTAAAAAATCAGACATTATTATAAAATAAACAGTCATTCTAGAACTAGTCGAACACTATAATGTAATCTCAACAAAATCAAGGAAATTATAAAACAGTGACAGCCTGCCATTGTGCTGAGATTCTGTTTCACATAGAATCATTCCATCTAAACTTCCAGCAAAATTAAATTTTGATCTTCCTCATTTATGGGGGATAAGATGCCCAACTATTAATTTTTTTTGCTGCTGTTGGTCTTTGACTTTTTCTTAACTTTTATTCTTATTTTTTTAAAGTTTATTGTGGTGACAATTGTTAGTAAAGTTACACAGGTTTCAGGTGTACAATTCTGTAATACATCATCTGTAGATCACATTGTGTGTTCACCACCCGGAGTCAGTTCTCCTTCCATCACCATATATTTGACCCTGTTTACCCTCATCTACCACCCCCCTCCCTCCACCCTCTGGATAAAGAAGATGTGGTATATATACACAATGGAATACTATTCTGCCATAAGAAAAGATGAAATAGTACCAATGGTGACAACATGGATGGATCTTGAGATGATTATGCTAAGCAAAATAAGCCAGACAGAAGTCACGAACCATATGATTTCACTGATATGTGGGATATAAAACTGAAGCCCAACTATTAATTTTATTTGAAATGTTTGAGAAAAACAAAAACAAAAACAAAACATCCTTCCAATGTTCTAAAATTAGATTGTGGTGATGGTTGTGTAAATATAAATATATAGACATTCATCAAATTGTACAAAAATTGATGTATTTTATACTATGTACAGTTCATCTCAAAAGATCTGGTTTAAAAATCCATCCTCTACTGGGAATCTGAGGTTAGTCAGGCTGCTAACTTCGAAGTTCACTGACCTTTGTGGCCAGTCAGAAAATAAGAGTGTGAGCCTAGGAGGTGTGTGAGGCCAGAGGAGCCATTAAAGATAACGTCGGGTTCAACCTGGTCAGGGATGATCAAATTACCTCTTTTCCCCTTAAAAAATGGGGTAGAAATAAACATATTAATGAGGGGAAAAAAGTTCTGCCACCTACAACTATTTGTGCCATGCCCATTCCTTCAAAAAAAAAAAGCCTTAAAATAACTATTAATCACTAGAATATCTAGTATATGCAGGAAGAGCATTTTGTCAAATTGTAACATTAATGAAATGCTAAAAGTACTTGAAGTTGAAAAAAGTTAACTAAATACATTTCATGTGGGGAAGAAAATAAAAACACACGTCATATCATATAGTGATGTTTCATGCCACTTTATCACTATTTGAATTATTTTTAATATATTTTATATTAGTACACAAATTAATAAATATAGCATACACACATAAATACTACTCTAGTTTAACATATCTTTACATTTCACAGGACAAGAGAAAGTGCAATAGAACATGTTAGTATAGATTTCTCCTTTCTGATTCTGTAGTACATGCTTATTTAAAGGGCAAAAATGCCCCATTATCTTTTTTTCTAGGCCTTTCCTTTCTAAAGAAACCATTTAACAGGCAATTTCTGTAGAATTGATATTGATATTAGCAGAAGTCCTACTTTTCCTTTTAAAAATATTGAATGGCGAAGTTAACACTATAACAAGAAAATGGACCCTGAAGCCTTGTTTTATATTGGAAATCCTGGGTTGTCGGAAAAGTCTTGAGGCATTTTTGCAATGAAAAACATAGAAATAATATGTCATGACTTTTTCGACAACCCAATATATTTTAGTTCTATTAAAATGCTTATCCATAGATGAATGGATTGAGAAACTATGGTACATTTACACAATGGAGTATTACTCAGCTATAAAGAAGAAGGAAATCGTACCATTTGCAACAATATGGATGGAACTAGAGAACATTATGCTAAGTGAAATAAGTCAGTCAGAGAAAGACAAATACCATACGATCTCACTTATATGTGGAATCTAAAAAACTGAATAAAGGAGAAATGTAAACAGAAATAGTCTCAGAGACACAGAGGAAAAACGGAGGGTTGCTAGTGGGGAGGGTGTGGGTATGAAGGAGAAGGGGAAGGGACGAGACAATACAAATTGGTAACTTCAATATGGCCTCACGGATAGAAAAGACAGTCTATGAATATAATCAATAATGTTGTAAATGTTTTTAGGGGGCCAGATGGACTCATGTCTTGTTAGGGAGACCACTTCATAGTTGGTGTAGAGGCCTGACCACTGCACTGTATATCTGAAGCTGATGTTGAATAATAATGTATGTCAACAATAATTATATATACATATAGTCACGGGACATGGAGTAGAGTGTGGGAATGGAGTCAATGGAATTGTAATAGATAAGCATGATATCGGGGGTGGGAGGACAGTAGATGGGGATGGGGGGTTGTTTCTGTGTGAGGGTGAAAAGGATAACTATTGCATTGTTCTGTACACCTGAAACTAACAATAAAAAATAAAATGTAAAAAAATTTAAAAAATAACAACAAAATAAAATACTAATCCTTAAATATTTTTGAAATAATATTGTTTTGACAACTTCAATAGTCACCAAATTTTTTAAATGTTGTACTATGGAAAAATTTAAATATTAAAAAAGTTAAATGGTAAAAACAAACCTCCATATACCATGATTTATTGATCCAACAATTTCAATAATTTGCCACACTTGCTTTATCTATCTTTCTATGTAAATTTATTGCTATATACTTTAAGGAGAATTCTAGATCCCATTTCCTCCACCCCTAGGAACTTAAAAGGCATCTCTAGAAAAATATAAAATGGGTGTTTATCAAATTTTTCTTTAGTTTGAGATATTACTGAATAGAAATATATATCAAAGTGTATCTATTTTCAATCTATGATTGATGCATAAATTTTGAGAATTATTTAAAATGTATAGAAGACAAAATATTAAACATTTTAAATGGTTTACTTCTATTCAAATTTAATTGATTCCATTTTTCCTTTAGAAATTGCAATCTAAATGTATAGGTAAAACTATGACCATTTTAATATTAAAGAGAAAGCAATAGCAAACTTGTTTTAAGTCATGTTTGCTGCTCTATTACAATTAAATATTTCTGTTTAATAATATAAATCCATAATTCTTCTGAATGCTAAAATCAGAAATGTAAGCAGCCACTTAGATGTGCCAATACTCCACCCAAAAAGTGTGTTGGGCAAGCTTCAAATATAGTAAATTATTTTAAATTCCAGAGTTAAATTTTGAATTTTAATGCAATTTGTGTATATTGGCAGTACAGTGACTATATTAGAATATCATATTTCAACATGTGATCACTTTCCTTGACATAAGCTAATATTATCTGTCAGTGTAAAATTTAAATAAAAATTAGTAACACTAATGATACAGCATTATAAGACTTTCACAAATAAATACAACGAGTTCACATTTATGTGAGCATTGATACAAATACTAACCTAGTGTGCTACTGAATAGATACACTAAATTAGTATTTTAGCTTCAAGAGTTATATTTTGATATTTATTTAATTATATTTTATATACAATTTTCATATATGTACTCTGGAACTAAGAATTCAAAAAATTTGTTTTAAATACAATTTTCCATTTTCATCTTTTACCTGTCTATGTACCTGTGATTAAAACATACCTTCAAAATAACCATCTCTTCTGGGTTGTGTCTTCTTTGGTGATTTTGTAACGGAAATTTTACTTTCATTGTTTCTGAATAATGCTAGGCGCACAGTGGGGTCTAGACAAAAAAAGCAATATAGGACAAAAGTTTAGCTCTGGCTCATTTCTTCTCTGAAATGGCTATATATTTTTATGATAATATTAAAAAAAAATGATACCCACTCTATAAAAGTCTGTCAAATTGATGACGATGTTATTTTTAAAAGACTCAGAATATGAAAAGGTAACCAACCATTCACATATTCTTGGTTATCTGAATAAACACATAGCCACTACCTAACAAAAAAACAGAAATGCTAATAATGTGAAAACATGTACATTTAAATTTTCCAGTTATGGCATCATGTTTTCCATATTTTTATTTGGGGAGTTGCTTCACTGTTTGTTATTTCAGCTCCTTAATTCCTATATTTCTGATGGAATAAAGTACAATTTCCATAAATGCATAATAGGTAAAAGTTATTATTACAGCAATAACCACATACCCTACTTTTTTCTCCTCTAAACGCTGTAGATGAGATGGAAGCAAGGTAACTACCTTACCCTTACTGGGGTGAGAGACAGATAAAATGATTATTTCTTTAATTTTACAGATAAATTAACAGTTTCTTTTTTGCCCTAATTACTGTATTTTACATAACAATGATGTATAAAGTCTACATATTTTTAGAGCCAAGAGAATTCTAAAACTATTGATTTTACAAAATCCATGGGATAATTATAAATGTAGGGCTCTATACTTTTTTATTGGTAATGAATGGTTCTGTAGAATGTGAAATTGGAATTTGGTGCAGATGAATTAAGACTAAAAGTTTTTGCTTGTTGATGAGCTGTAAGAAAAGAAAATAAGTAAGTAATGGAGTAGAATAAGAGTGGACAGTTATGCATTTAAAGTAAGTTAACTTAGTTATACATCTGAAACTAACAAAATGGTGTATGTTAATTATACCTCAATAAAAAAATAATAAAGTAGGTTGCCATAAAACCACAATTCAGGTCAGCGTACATTTTCTTAATATTGTACATTGTCTTGCAAAAAGAGACTTTAACAATCCTTGATTGAGATCTAGTGTAATAGAATTGAATATGCTAAATAGAAAAATAAGATTTTAAATATCATAAAACTCAAAATACATATTCTAATTAAATGCTAATGTAACTTTTGTTTAGAATGTAAATTAGAAAAAGCAGAATAGTATTTGCAGAGTTATTCTCAAGAATGAGCAAAATGAAGATTTCCATTAGTCTTCTAGTAATAATTTATCCTTACTAAGCATGATTTACATGCTTTAAGAGATTAGGGAAAATATAGGTCAATATTTGGACACATCTCATAATTATATGTAACCTAAGGTATTGTAAGAGTTGGGTGCTTCTAGATGTATTCGATGTGAATATTCAATAAGAATAATAAAAAACATTGTATATATGTTTCATAGAATAAAAGTACTTTCCAAAAAATATATTGGCAAGTGAAAAGGAGCATGAGCCACTCAGGGAAGACAGATCAGCATGGGCTTACACACTGTAATGATACCATATTATAAACTGCTCATTTTCCCTACATTTTCCTGATTTCCTTGTCTTTCTATTTGAATATGTGTGTCCTGAACAAAGACATTACAATTAAACAGACGTGGGTTAGATCCAAGCTCCAACTTATACTAGTTGTATGACTCTAGACAAATTGCTCTCACCCTCTGCCTCCTCTTTTGTCCAACAGAAATAACATTGATTTTCAACTATCAGTGTGAGGTTTAATGAGATAATGTGTGTAAAACATCAAGTCTTGTGCCTACATAAGTGTAGGTGCTCAACTAATGGCAGCCAGTAAACGTATAATTACAACATAATAATAATATTTCTAACTTATATTCTTAAAAATATTAAATCCTTCATAGAGTAAGGTGGGATATACTGGAAACAGACTGATGGATCCATAATCAATTTTGTTTTATTCAGTATAGTACATGGTATAAAATCTATGGACCTTTTATAAATTCTTTGGCACTCCTTGGGCAAATAACAATATGTGACTTGATTCCTTATTAAGTAAAACATGGATAACAATAGCACATTCTTGATACTACTATCAAGTTTAAATAAACTAATACATATAAAATATTTAAGCGTTGTCTAGCTCAATTTACTCAATGAAATAATTTTATTTTTCAAGAGCACATAATAAGTGCTACATTTTCCATAACCTTTTATTTTAAAACATTCTGATTATACCACTTTAAATTGATTTAAAACTTAAATTAATTAAAATTGAAAAGGATAATGATAATCAAGAAACACAGTAATTCTAGATGGGGGGGCACAGGGGGAGGGGCGGGAAATCACTGGATTTTGATAGTGCCTGGAGATAACACCATGAAAAAGATACTATTCTTACCCTCAAAACCTACACAATTGAGTACAAAAGCCTGGAGATAATGAGTACAATTGTGACATCTTTTTCTTGCATTGTAAAGTCAAGTTTGTACATTAAAATCAACTCCTCTGGGATCATCAATAGCACATCTATCTTGTTGGGGTTTTTTTGTCTTTGTATCTCCCAGTATGACTTACCAAGTGTCTGCAGAATAGGTTTTAAATACATCTTTATAAAATATTTAAAGAAACCCATAAGTAAACTGAGTTTCTATTGCCCATGTGGCTCTGCACGCAACACTTTCTATCCATTATCTCATTTAAGTAACATGATTTTATTTAGGCACTAGAAATATCCCGAAAATGACTTCCCTCGCTGTGTAACCCCTTTTCAGTTTGTGTAATCCTAATCTTAGTTCACTGGTTTATCTTATTCTTGTTAACTTCATACAGAAAAACGTGGTTATTACCCGTTTTCTGTATTGCCAAGAACAATAGTGCTGTGACACAAATTTTAAGTTAAGGTTGAATGACTAGCTATGCTTCATCATCTCATATTATTTACTTATTCAAATTTGACTTCCCAAATATAAACATGTACTTAAATTACTGTAATACACATACACACAGTCACATGTTATTTAGTGACTTTATCTCATCTGTGGCTGATTTCACTGTTATTTATTGAACATCTATCATATACCAGGCATGGCATTAGGTTCTGGGAAATCAGTGGGGACAAGTAGAGTCTTGGCCCTCAAGGATCTTATATTCAAATGGGTTTTATTACTGCTTTGTTAAGAGCACAACAAAGTAACATTTGATCAAAATTCTTGTGAATTCTTTTTGGAAATCACTGAGGTAAACAAACAAATCATAAATAGACTTTATTTACAGTTTTTGTCTATACTGTTCCCTTTTCATAGTTCCCCTGTAACATTCCTCAGTTATCTTACCATTTTGCAACCTGATCTCTTTGCTATAGCCCATAAACTGCTTAATTCATATGAAAAAGTTAGCCTATCTTATTTGCTAGCTGGCTTAACTCTTGGCTATAACTAAATGTTACCAACTGTCTCAAGTTATTTTCTTCATTGAAATAAAATCAGCAAATACTGAATGTTTAACAAGTACTGGACAAATGTGCTAGGTGTTACAAGCAGCTATAAAATAATTCTTAACCCGAGTTGTGGCTTTACATTTCTAACCAAATTAACCTTGTTTGTTTTCATCTTGCTCTTTCCCTTCTTTAGTTAGGAAATTTAAAGTGCATAAATATGATAAATGTTGGAAAGCCTCATTATGTCTTCATCCCTATATTCTTAGCTCTAAAGTGTCTTACCATCTGCGCTCCACCAAAATCCCTATACTCAGAACTCAATCTCTCTGAGGAGCACTCCACATCAAAACCAGTCACTCACTTTCCCCACCTGAGTCATCTCAGGCTTGCTCCCAATCATTCTCATTGCCTTTGGGTTATCAGACCCTCATGCTTTCAATAAGCCAGCAACTCTCACCTCACACATGGGGTGCTTTACAGCAGTACTAAACTCTCAACTTCCCTGGGTATCTGCTCATTTCCAACGCAGATCACCACATTCTGAAACTACCTCTGTGCATGACAAACAAAATACCACTCCCCCCAAAACAAGACAAGTTATAACTAGTCCCTGCTTATGTCCATCACGAGGGAAACAGCAACAACTTCACCAGGAATCACAACAATCAGAACCCAAACCCAAACTGAGTAAATCATGGTAACGCCTCATCATCTTAGATTCCCTCCTGTGGCTTCCCATCCATTTCTCCTCCTCTGCCCCCCCTGCTCCTGCTTCTTTTGTTCAAAGCAGATGGGTTCATTTATCCCAATAGAAGGCAGTAATATGGTGTCTCCCTGGATGGTTGCCCACACTGCATATTTCCTCAGCCCCTTGCTTCTTCCTTACTCAGTGGTAACCAATGTTCTCAGTGGTATTCTTCCTCTAGTTGCAACTTTCTTTAAGTAATGAACCCCGTGCCTTTTGCCCTATTTTCACTCTCCTCATAAATCAAATATTATTGACTCATATATCCCTTGGTTAATAACTATATGTACAAGACACAGAAAGGAAATATTAAGTGTTTGCTACTGAGCAACTTGTTCTAAGGTTTTTCATGGCAGAAGTTTGAATTAAAGTTTCTATACTTCCTGCATTTATGCTCCACCTTCTTGAGGATTACTGCTTTGTTAGAATGTAGGATGTAACTGGTTCCATTTAATTAAATTTCTATTATCTGATTCCCCACCTGCCACCCTCCCTACCCCACTACAGAGCTGGTCAGTCACCAGTAGCGTTATGGACAATGTTGCCCTCTGGTGGCTTGAAAATTCCAAGTTGGCAAGTTGTCCATGTAAGATATATCTCCATTAACATTTGAAAATTATTAGTAAAAAATTAACTTTCAACAGAATTTAAATATTTAAAATATTATTTTAATTTATTAGTAAATAAAATTTTAAATAAAGGCCATTTTTAGGCAGATACAAATAAGTTAATAGCATATCACAGACTGACTGTATTATTAAACTAGAAAAGTACTAGAAAATGCTTTATTCTGTAAGAAGAAAACCCAAGCTCCAGAGTCTTAAATAATTTTCTCACAGATACAAAATGACATAAGTGCTACATCATCATCCTAGTAGAAGATCAGAGCATCATAATTAGAGAAGATCCCACTGATCTTCATGTTTTCCATCTTTAATCTTACTTCAAATATTTATATCTATTTTGTATATCTGTTGTGAAGGGGGAGTGGAGAAATACAGTGAGGACAATTTAAGGTTATCATGAAGTTCTACATTTCAGAATTCATATTTTAGAGAAAAAAGGGCTTTTATTTCATTAATTTAACAGTACCTAACATAGTAATAAGAATGCAATTGGGTTTACAGTCGTGTGATTAAAGATCCCCATAAAAATTATACAATTGTCATTTTGGATTTTTACCTAACAGATCATGTTTAACGACCACTGTCAAAATGTTAAATTTAAGATATGGTTGTTAACTTGGATGTCTGGTAACGTTTTATTTGTTACCCTATCATGCCCCCTTGTGACAGATAAAAAGAGGTTTAAAACTTTTGTCTGATAATAATTGTGTCTAATTTTTGGCCATTAAAGCAATGATTTTTATTCTTTTTTAATGTATGAGCATATATTCCTTGTTGAAATTTTTGCTAAACCATATTATTTACTATGCTCATTTAGTAAAAATTTACTCAACCTAAAAAAAAAAATCACTCAGTTACAAGAATTAGCAAGAAAGACCTATATTTTCCAGAGGCTGATTCTAACAAAATAAACTTTTTCTTAGTTTCACTATCGGAGACTAGGCAAACACTGTACATATCTAAAAAAATAAAATAATATAAATATTGAACTTAAATAAGTACTAATTATTTGTTTAACATTGGCTAAATCAGTTCTTAGCTACTTCTGATTCTTGAACTTGTCCCAGAAGTTTCAGAAACTTTTATTATTCTTAAAACAGCTATTTAAATAATGTTTGTTGACACTTGAAAATGAATAGAAATATATGTCAAAACAATAAAAGAGTTCATCAAATTTACTGTACTGGATTCCACTTCCCTAGGACTGAGAGTCTCACTATTATTAATAGTTTGAGTTACTATTTTTCTGGGTAACCACCTTGTGGTATTCAGTTCACAGAGCCCGAAGGAACTTTAATAGAAGTTTACAAAATAAAAGTGTGGGAGGTGCAAAGTAAGTTGACAAACAGAGCATATATTTACACTTTCTTTAAAAATGCTTAAAATTTCAATATTTTAAACCTGACAAACTTTTAGTGCACAACAACAACAAAAAATAATTACCTCAAAAGGTTAAAAATTAAGATATTACCACACTAATATAACACCAAAAAAGGATAGTTGAACATTTGTGAATATAAAAATGAATCATCAGTATTTTATCAATGGCTAGTAAGTGCAGCGTCAACAAATATTAGTTATTCCTTGGAAACCAACAGCATTTTGGTTATTTTTATTTGTTTTTTTTAATCAAATCATATGTATTTCTTAGAATTGTACTGAACTTATGATTAAAAATAAAAAATCAAAAAATTAATAAATCAATAATTTAAAAATTAACCTTCTGAACACTTCTTTGTATGCTTACCTAAGCTAAAACTATAGAATAAATATAGATTCCTTGCTTTTCTCAGGACTAAAAGTACTTTTATGGAAACATATCACTGACATTAAGAACTTTATAAAAGGAAATGATGAGCAAGAGAAACTCAAAAGAATTAAAAAAAAAGTCCTGTTACTTATATTAAAGCTTATCAGTTCAGGAGTAAATATTTATAGGGTTATGAGTAAATGCAAAGTTATATGCGATTTGCAAATAATTTTAAATAATTTTAACGATAGATATAAAGTCATAACAACCTGCTATTTCTTGCCCTGACACCTATAAACTACTCCACATATTAAGTAATTCATACTAAAATGATTAAAGGTATCCAAAGAAAGACAAATGATTTGAAGAATTAGTCTGACAAGCAGGACAGGAAAAAAGATGCCTTTGAACATTTCCCAAGTTCTGCATAATCAAGTTCTGCACTATCATTGTGCTCCTTTTCCAAAGTGTCAAGTTGTGAAGTCTTCATAGCTAATACTCATGGAACTGATGAGTTTATATAAATAGAGTAATGAATAAACAAGCAACTTAAAGCCACACAAAGGAATAAGCACATGAAGCAGACTCTTTAGAATCAACTTTTGCCAAAATAAACCAGTGTAGAAATAAATTACAGCATAATTTTCAGAGCAAGATAGAATAATCAACAGCAAAGTAGATAAGAAACAGGAAAAGTAAAAATAGCATTTAAGGGTATAACAAATTATTTAATATAATAACACAATTTACTCTAAATTTTCTTGTTTGGGGGGAATTAAAACCTTAGATGTACTCATATCTGTGCATTTTGTTTCTGTTTTTATTAAATGCAATTTGATAAAAAATATTTTAAAAGAATGCATCTTCAATATCAAACACACAACTATTATTCAAAGAGCATTGATTACCTACCCAATTTTTTCCTTAATTTCTTTGACTTCATTTTCTGTGCTCTCTTCAGCATTTGCTGAGCAGTAGAAATATCTTTAAAGCCCCTATTAAAAGATTAAATTAAATAAAGGCAAAACAAATATTCAGATCATATTTACACATGCATATACATATAAACATACATATCTGAATTATATTAAAACGAATTTGGATACTCATTTAAGAATCTGTAATTTAACAGATACATAGTTTCTTAAAAACAAATAAAAGCAATCTTGAAATCTTGAAAAATATTAGCCTTGGACATTTAAAAGTCTCTCAATTTTAAAAATCTCAATATTTTAGTGTAAAGTAGACTACATACCATTCTTCTGAAATTTTTTCCTCCTTTTCAGATTTTAGCAAACTCTTTCTGCTGGTCTGTGATTCAGGTGTCTGGGATAAAGTTCTATTTTCTGATCTGGCAATAGAGAAATACCACACAACTCAATCAACTCAAGTATATAAGCACTTTTTAAAACTACAAGCGTTTTTATGTTGTCTCAAACTTGAAAATAAAATCCATTTAAGTTACAGAAAAGCTTTATCTTGAAAAGCAATAAATGTCTGCCATTAATTTAAAATGTTTACATTTCAATTACTTGAAGCATATTTCAATCCTTTTGTTGAAAGAAATGAAGCACTGGAATTTTTATTCTAATCCTTATCTCTACCTATATAGCAGTATTTAAAAATCTACTTGTTTACAACAATTAATTACATTATTTTACTGATGCTTAAGTTTTGCAGTTGCTTGAATGAATCTACCTTACACATTTTTCTTACACTGAAAACTACATAAAATCATTATATCTTAACACTAAATGTTCTTCCATCTCCTAAACAAGTAAACTTGCTGCTGTTTTCATTATTTTATTGCTTTTGTAAGGAGTATAGAATTCTTCATAGGTATGCCATTTACAGGTTGACCTTCTAGAAGAGTAATTCAGCTTACCTGCCATTAAAGTGCGTGTGTTCCGATGAAAACACATTTTCTTTCTCATTGCATAGCCACGCTTGAGCTGGGTGACTTGGTAAATTAAGGGACGTGTCATCATAATTTAAGGATCCAGAGGACTTATCAGAAAAAATATGTACATGAATATAAAATAAATTGAAAAATTCTAACATTTATATTGTATTACTCTACATGCATAGTACAAAGTAGCCTCCTAAGGGAAACTCATATAAAAATTGAAAATTAAAATAAAATTTATGGAATACACATATGAATATCTTTTGTTATAGTGCCAAGGAATATGCTTTTTGGTATAGTTTGCCTATACAAAATGATTAACGGCAAAGATCTTTAAAAAAATCTCAGGAAACCAAAACTTCAAAGATTATCAAATAAATAGCAGATATTGCAGTCCATTGACCTCTGACTGAAAATCTTCAGCTGTTACCCTCTTAATGCACATTTTTATATTTTTAAAGTGCTTTCAACTAGTGATTTTAGTCGACTGCCAACTATGCAGCTGAAGTGTATCATTTTTTTTTTTGCTACTGTGAAATAAAGTGTTGAAAGAAATCCAAAATAAAGAAAAAAATTAGGAGCAAATGAAAGAAAAGCTACATGAATAATTACATCTGGGGATGAGGAGGAAGTCAGAGGCTTCTAAAAGTAATTATGTTTTTCAAGTCAATAAATTGTATTATTAATCACTGCTGCATAGCATAACCTTAAAAAATGAGCACAGATTGAGCACCGAGAGGTCTCCATGACATGTTACCTTTGGCCAGTGCAGCTGGCTGGGGAGACGCTGTGTTTGTGAAGGGAAGCGGGCGGAATTGAAAGCTGGCCATTCTTTTTCTAAGGCAGCCTGCACAAATAAAACATCGAAGTACATAATGTAGCTTGCATACGTTTCACAGAGAGCCTTGAAATCGTCTTATGTGCTACAAAAGTTACGAAAGTATATCAGAATTTTTATTTACAGGAAAATTTGCTACTTGCTGTTGTGAGATGTTACACATCTGTTTAATGTAATCATTCTTAAGAACAGGGTAAGATTTTTTTTTTTTTATCCCCAGTGGGATAAAGTGAGAACTCGAGTACTCAAGTGTTTTAAAAAATAAGAGAGGTGTGGATTGTTCAGTGTATTTAACTGTTGGATAACTATGACTCTGAGCCTACTCTAGATGTAATTAAGGACAACAATCTATTAGTTCTTTATAATATAAATCATATTTTCCATTAAACCTCACTATTGAAAATGTAAAGTATTTTAACACATTAGTATCAATTTTTCTATAAACACTGTAAGATAGCTTTTACATAATTTTTTTCCAAAATTTCAAAAATCTTCCTAATAGGTAGAGAAAAGGATTTTATGCCAATATAAGAAACATGGTTGTTGATATTATAGTCTCTAATTCAAGTGTTTGAATGATAAAAATATAAATTTTGAAAAGATTCTATTTTAAATTCCTTCACTCTATATTCAAACATCTTTATTCCATTTATGTAATTCCCAAATTTATTTTATCTTTCTACAATGGAACTATACCAGTTATGCTAGTTTGTATAATTGAGGATATAATTATCTAAATTTTATTTACTTGGATTATCTAATATGGTTGAGAATAAACGTCCGTGGTTCTATAATGTTTTTTGAATCTTTATGAAAAAAGGATGGTCAAAATACCAATAAACTTGTTTCTTAAAAGGTTCTAAAATGAGCAGACGTAAATATGATTTAAAAACTAGAATGGTTATATTCTGAGGAGACTTCAGTGCAATTTTCCATTTATATGATTTCAATGTTTCTTGACTATCACTTGAAAGACCACTGGGAAGGCAAAACTAAGGCATCCCGACTACAGGCTAGCAGTGCAATGACAGACTTACTTACAGAATTTAATCTTGGGAAACCTAACCAAAGTCATCTTATTTGATGTAAATAGGACACCTCTACCTAGTTGTTAGACAGGTAGATTGTCCAATTCCATCTAGTCAGAGATTATTAACATACATACATATATATATATATATATATGTATACATATATACACACACACACACACACATATATATATATATATATATATATATATCACAGCTATATACCAGTTATATCTGGTTTAAGAATATATATATATATATATATATATATATATATATATATATATATATATCTGGTTTAAGAATGTGAGTTGAGGCAAAAGTGCAAACAGGATTCAGGTTTCAGATTTTTTTTAATTCTTCCTTTCGAATGACAAAAGAAAATCCAGATCTATTTCAGGAAAGATCCAGACCGACAGCATATCAGCTATCATCAAATTAGTACTCTCACTATTCTGAAAAAGGCTAAAGTGAAAAGAAGATGTGAAGATGTAGAGACAATATTAGAAAACGGTATATGCCAGATGACCCTGGGAAGACGGCAGGGGAGGAAGCACCAGGAACCTGTCTCCCCACCTAATCAACAACTGCACTGTCAGGATGTGTCCGCTGTAACGATTTTGGAACTCTGGAGTCTACTGAAGGCTCCTAACTTCCAGGGGGAAGAACTGAGTGGTAAATTGTGGTTAATTTTGGTCAGCTTCAGCTCTTAGCACAGTAGCAGCTATCTATCTTCCACTCCCCAACCCTCAGGCAGGCAGCTGTTCATGGGTTTCTGGAATCATTTGCACACAGCTTGCAGGAGTCCGGATGGACAATGAGGACTCTGTCCTCCAAATATTGGGAATCTGTGCTCTAATTGCTGATTGTTTCTTCTGATTACAGAGGTGCAAAGAGGTGCAAAGAGTCTTTGTTGCTGCACCTGCTCTATCGTTGCAAGCCCCTGCCCTACCAGCTCAAAGATTTCCAGGGGATTTAAAGGGCTGGTGTCCTTCTCCCTGCCCCTTCATTTTTCTCTTTTTCTCTTTTGGGAGCCAGACATTAAAGATTAGGATATTCATTAAAAATCTTCTAGAAGCATAAAAAATACTTAATATAAAATGCTAAAGACACTTTTAGTAATTACATAATTATAACCAAATAATGTTATCAAAACTAATGATTTATGAGTTCAAACTTATTAATATCAAGTGTATTTGGCAGTACTTAGTATATTGAGGGATAAAAAAAATCTCAAAATGTCAGGAAGAATTGGCCAAGGCTATAAATATACCACTGTTTTAAAAATGTATATTAATATATCATGCTTAGCACTGGATATTTATAGAAATGTCAGCTGTTGCTTAAGAAAACCTTCTGTTCAGATATTTTTTTTAATTTACAACTGAGGACCTGGAAACCTTTCTGGTTACTCGAATATTATTATCAAACTTACTTTTATAGTAAAAATGAACTTCGACTTAGATAAATTTGTAACTGTATGTTCACAATTGAGCGTTTGATCAGATATACATACATTTGGCTTTTGAGAAGAAATCATTATTCTATAATCCAACTTTGAGAGAGTAGAAAATAAGGCTATCAGAAAGAGAACCTGCAAATAACATTGATGTTTATTTGTATTATGTATATGCAAACATTTTCACTCCATCTAGTGTAATGCTTTCATTTGACACATGACTCTAAGATCAGACTTGTCCGAAGCTATAAGTCTGAGGAGAACAAGTTCTAGAAATTCTAAAACCCAAGACTTGGGATTGTATCTACTCCCTTCATGACCCCCAACCCTGCCTCAATACTTTCCTCTTCTTCTGCCCAAGTTAACTCTTACTATCCACCCAATTTTTTCTAATATTTTTTTTGACAACTTCTGTACCATCTCAAAATCCTTACAGTTTGGAACCTCAGCTCAACCTGAATCACAAATCTCACTTTCTAAACCCTCTCCTTCGTCACTATGCAAAAGCATAGCTGCCCTTATTATTGGAGACGGTTATATTCCAGGCAGGCCTCTTTTCACTTCCCTTTAGCCTTTTCCATGGCCTAGACTTCAGGTTTGTTTGTTTGTTTCTTTTCCCACAATGTACTATAATATGTAATAACCTGTGACGTTCACTTGGGATAATGATTAAACATGAATTCTAGAGCTGAAAGTTGCCCAGCTTTGTGCATTTTGCCTCCTTCTCAAAAAATTATTCCTGTCTACTTATTGAATTTGACTTTGACCTGAAACAAAAAAACAAGAAACAAACCCAAATTTCACTGTTATGGCTTTCTGTATTTGTGCTAAATTAGCTTTTCTCATCTTCTCTGGGTTTAGGGGCTCATAAGAGGATTGGTTGTTTAAATTTCTAGACAATTTCATTGGTTCTTTGTATGTTGGCTTCTAAAGAGCATATGTAAATGAGAAAATAAACTGTTAAATTAAGTCAATTGTTAAAAATATCAACTTTGTAAAACTTACTTTATAATGTAAAAGGTCCAAAATAAAAGTGCCAGCATACATCACTAAGCCACATCAGGCCTAATGCACATATTATTTTAGATATTTATTATCTTACAGATATTTCATGACAATGTGGCAAAAATTCCCCACAAAGGAGATTAAGACCTAGGCTCGTTAAAACTTCTGCTAAAATAATTATCTTAAAAAGATTATGCACTGTGGACTCAGGACCAAGAAAATGTCTTATTCATCACTATTTCAGAGGTGCATTATGAATAGTACGTATTAGGTGCTTAGTGTTGGGAGGTAATTCTCCATGGTTCTCCCACATTTCTGCATGTTTTGTGAGCTTTTTTCCCCAGACAATCTTTTCCAGGATCTTTGTACAGATAGCAGCGTGGGAACATAAAAAGTAGTGTTTCTCCCAATCTTAGTGGGCACTATGCGACCCAGAAGCATGGGGAGTGAGGCACACTGATTCAACTGTGGGGGTTTGGACATGGCTTACAGTGGAGGAGGGAGCTAAAGGTATCTTGTGGGTGGGTCCTTTAGGCCAATTCTGTGTATTGCTGTTGCTTCTGAATGTAGAGTAGACATTGACCTGTTGTGTTACATGTTTTAAATTTCTACCCTATAGGTGCCAGTGGGGCTTATCCCAATAGGGGAAAGGTGCAGGTAGAGAAGCACTAGGGTGATAAGCTCTCTTGTGCTTTGTCACCTGTGGGACAACCACTGGGTCAGGATTTAGTGTGAGTGCCCCTCCCACCGATGTCCAAAGCTTTCATTATATAGATGATTTCCTGTTGGTTGGATGTGAATTATATCTCAATTTAAAAAAGCCTTAGTTTTAGCAGTCCTGATTATAGTGAATATTGTCACACACCTCTGCATTCAGGGGCTGGCCGATAAAACGGAACAAAATTCTGGGGCCTATATTCCTGAGGCCTGTGCATCAAGTAATTTCTTGGGACTTGACTATGTGAGAGAATGTATGATGTTCACTCTCTCCAGTAGCCAACGAAAAACTTCTGTCTTTTCAGCCTTTTTCCACAAAAAGGATGCCCAACATCTTCGCAGACCCTTTCAGTAGTGGAGATAATATGATTGTCTGTGGCTGATGATTTTGCCAATTGGAGCTTCTGGCTTCCACCTGGAGGCATCCTTTGTGATTTTGGATTTGTGGCCTTTCTGACACTGACTCCATGTATATTCCTCTTAAAAACCAACTATTACCTCCCTACTGGACTATGTTAGAAGCTAAATGACTGACCTATGGAAGCCTTGTAAGTCTCTGGCCTGATACCCCCATTTTGGGTTGGAACAACCCAGATTCAATGACTAACAAGGTATGAAGGTCTCCCAAAGCCTCACTTATCAAAAGGAACAGCCAGCCTGGCCCCAGTGGCATCTTGGTTTCGTATGAAAAAGTGGAAGCTGTACTTCTCAGGGAAACTTTGTCTCCACTCCATGGCCTGATCCAAAGCTGCTGGCTTGGAGGGACTGTCTATGTGCTGGGGCCTGGTTCAGGAATG